TAGATTAGGTCTGCTTCATACTTCTAAAGAGGCATGATCTGAGAAACACAGAACACCTGGGCAGGTTTAGTGAAACATAGTGGAGTGGTAATCCAATTGTAATTACCACTTTAGAACATAAGAACTAAGAGTAGCCTAGATATTCAACCTCTCCAGTGCACCTTGCCATTCAATAAGGTCATGGTTGATTCACCACAAGATGCAACTCTCTTTTGTTCCAGCTCTTCACTGCCCTCAGCTCTCCAGTACTTTGAAAATCTACCTACCTCATCTTTAAATACTTCCAGTTACCTAGGCTCCACAACTCTCTGTATTCCAGATGTTCACTACCCTCTTGAAGAAGTAATTACTTTGCATCTCAGTTTTAAATGTCTGTCCTCCCATTCTGAAGCTATATTCCCGAGTGTGAGATTCCTCCCACCAGTGGAAACATCTTCCCAGCATCTACCCTGTCAAGCCCCCTCAGAATCCTATATGTTTCAATAATACCACATCTCATTTTTCGAAGGTCTAATGAATAAAGAGATAACTTGTTTAGTCATTCTTGATAAGCTATGCTCTTCATCCCAGGAATCAGCCTGGTGAATCTCTTTTGAACTGCCTCCAATGCCAATATAGCCTTTTTTTTAATTACTGAGATCAATATTATATGCAGTACTCCTGGTGCAGCTTCACCTACACTCTATACAAGACTTTGCCATTTTTAGGCTCCAAACTCGTTGAAATAACAGCCAAAACTCAACTTGCCTTCTTAATTACTTGCTGCACCTGTATACCACCTTTTTATATTTCATGCCCTAGGCACCCTGCGCTGCACCTGTTGGAGTCACTCTCCAGTTAAATAACAGTCTGTCTTTTGATTCTTCCTACAAAGTGCATGAGCTCACACCTACCTACATTAATGCAAACATCAGAAACATTTACAACCTGAATAAAACCCATACTCTGTTTACTGTGCATTAACCAATCCTCAGTTCATGCTAATATAACAGCCAAAAGCAAGAAAATATTATCTTATACAGTAACCTTTTAGCCTAATCAAATGCCTTCTAGAATCCAAATACACCACATATATCAGTAACCCTTTATTAACTCTACTTGTTATATCCTCAAAGAACACTAGCAAATTTGTCAAATACTATTTCCCTTTCACAAAACCATATTGTCTTTGTTTGATTATGTTAAGCTCTTCTAAATGCCCGCTATTTCTCGCTTAGTAATGGACAGTGGAATTTTCCAAATGACAGGTGCTATGCTAACTGGCCTATAGTTTCCTGCTTTCTGTCTGCCTCCCTTCTTGAACAGGGGCATCACATTAAGTGATGCCTCCATTTTCTCTGCAACCATTTCTTTTAAAACCCTTGGATGTAGGCCATCAAGTTCCAGTGACTTGTTTGCCTTTAGTCCCACTAGTTTGTCAAATGCTTTGCCTCTCCTGATAGAGACTGTTACAAGATCTTTCCTCCCATAAGCGTCTTGCCTATCTGTTATCTTTAGGATATTTATAGTTTCCTTCACAATGTTGGACTAGGGCGGATAAAGTCAGAAGTCACAAGACACCAGGTTATATTCCAACAGGTTTATTTAAAATCACAAGCTTTTAGAGTGCAGCCCCTTTGTGTGGTGAAGTAAGGACTATAATCTGGTGTTGTGTGATTTCTGACTTTCTCCACAATGAAGACAGATGAAAAACATTAGGTTAAATTTAATGGTTCTTTCCATGTTCCAGATCATTAATTCCCCAGTAGCACCTGTCAATGTCATCATACTTACTTTGTCTATTCTCTTTTCATATACCCATAGAAACTTTTACTGTTTGGTCTCACATTTCTAGCCAATTTACTTTCATAATCAATTTTCTCCCTCCACATTAGTATTTTAATCATTTGCTACTGTTTCCTAAAATATCCCAATCATCTAGTTTACCATCAGTTTTCATTCCTTTGTGTGCCTTAACGTTTGCTTGGATACTTTCCTGATTGCCTTTTTTAAAGCATGGCTGGTTTATTCTTCTGATCAAGTCCAGAATAAACTTTTGCTGAGGGCTCTGTGGTATCTGCTTAAATGTCAGCTCTGCTCATCTGCTGACTTTCCACTTAGTCTATTTTCCCAGTCCACTTTAGACAAGTTTTTCTTCATACCTCTCTAATTGCCCTTATTTAAGTTGAGGAATCTTGTTTGAGACCCAAATTTCTCTCGCTCAAACTAAATCTGAAATTCTGTCGTGTTGTGGTCAGTGATCCCTCAAAGATTCTTAACGACAAGGTCTCTTATTAATCCTACCTCATTACGCATTACAAGAACTAAAATGGGCTGTTCTCTGATAAATTGTGGAATGTACTGCTCTAAGATGCGCTCTTTGATGTACTGTAAAAATTCATCTGCTATGTTACCTTTGCCCGTTCAATTTGTCCAGTGAATGTGAAAATTAGAATCACTCATGACAACTGTAGTGCACATCACTAGACACCCAAGTGGCAAGGTGGCTTAGTGGTTAGCACTGCTGCCTCACAGTGTCAGGAACCAGAGTTTGAATCCACCCTCAGGCAACAGTCTGTGCAGAGTTTACACATTCTCCCTGTGTCTGTGAGTTTGCTCTGGCTTCCTCCCACAATCAGAAGATGTGCAGGTTATATTGATTGGCTATGTTGAAATTGCTCTGTAGTGTTCATGCTAGGTGGATTAACCATGGTAAATGCGGGATTATGGGGATAGGGCAAGATGTTATGTCTGGATGGGATACTCTTCAGAGGGTCAGTGGGCTGAAAGACCTGAACACTAAGGGTTCTATGATTATTTTCCAATTTATATTTTGCCTTAAAGTGTATTTTGTTTCTGAGCCAAATCTATCGTTTTGACTTTTAATTTATACTTACTGGCTGCCTGCATCTGTCCACTATCAGAACGACCTTTTGTATTACTATCAAATTTACTGTCTGACAGCATTCAGCGTGAGGTTTTGTGGTGCAGTGGAGGCGAGAAACTCCAGGTTTGAGTCCCACTCCAGAATTTGTTGGCCACAGACACTGGGTTTGTAATATGACCAATCAAGTTGATTAAACAATATCCAAATCCTTCCAGTATGCCTGATGGCAGCAGGAAAAGTAGACAAGTATATTGGGCAGTGACTCTGTGGGAGGTAATGGCTAAAACTGCAGTACTTTGTCCATAAGTATGGACTAATCCAATGTCTGTTAATGACCTATTCCTCAGAAACAAGGAGAGAAGACTAATTGACAAAACTAAATAAATTTTCACTATAAATTTGCCACTAGACTGCACTATACTCGAACTTTGTCACCATAAATATGAAATCTTGGCCAAGAACAATTTATGAAGTGTTTGTCTTGGTCGAAGGTAGGACTTGAACTCATAGTCTCTTGGGTAAGATAATGGTTTTAACAGCTTTAAAAATTATAGAAATTGCAAAACAGAAGCAAGCCATATGATTCCATACCATCCACACCAACACTAACTCTTCAAGTGCAGCTATATACTTTTTAATCTTTTCCTTTCTTGAATAAGAGTGTGACATCTGTCATAATTCCATTGACCACATTCTAGAACTTGCAATGACCAAAGAATATTCATGTGGCACTCTAGCACTGATATGTAATATACCATTCTGAAGGGATGAAGTGTCCTCAATTTAAGTGGAATCCTGGCTTCAGCAACTTTGGTGGCTCAGTTAGCACTGCTACCTCACAGCACCAGGGACCCGTGTTCAATATCACCCTCGGGTGACCATTTGTGTGAAGTTTGCATGTTCTCCCTGTGTCTGCATGGGTTTCCTTTGGATCCTCCAGTTTTCTACCACTGTCTAAAGATGTGCATTTAAGGTGGAGGATAGTAAGAACCGCTGATGCTGAAGTTAGCGATAACACAGCGTGGAGCAGGAGGAACATAGCAGGCCAGGCAGCATCAGAGGAGCAGGAAAGCTGACA